ATTTAAAATGTGTTATTTATGTTAACATGTAATAGACTTACTATTGTTGTTTTCAGGAGATGAATAAACAAATAGTTCACATTTTTGTTTTAATCCCTAACAGCAAATGTTGATAGATAAGATCAGACTCTATGATCAAGCTTTTTGGAGTCTTTGATACTTTGGAGTGTGAAGTGGCCATAAGACCAAAGAGTTTGAGAACCACTAGTCTAAACAAATAGCAGGGAGCCCTTTGACACAGGAGACAAAGGTATGTTCCTGTTAGGAAATTTTCGCCCCATTGGTCCTAGGTAAAGCTGACTGTGAAAACTGACAATTTACTTGGTAATTAAATGGCTCTTCCTAGACTGTGAGGCAGATTTACTGTTGTAGCCAAAGAGACTTCAGCTTCAGGGGCTCTCACTTGCACAGCCCTTTCCAAGTACTTGGAAGAAGCCCTAGCCATATGTTCACACAGTGATATGCTTTTGCAAAATTTGTAAAAGTAAGGTATTCTAACTACAATCTTTCGTCTTCCATGTTCCCCCTTCTCTAGAATGTTGGAATGGCTAGCAGACATTTTTGAAATGTAGCTAAAGGGATGTTGAGTTAGGGATACATTTGGTTTGAGTTTTCTGGGATGTATTTTTGTAACCCACAGTCACTTCCATGTGTAGTTAAATATTGCCAGCTGTCCCACTGGCTTCCAAGAGTATATTGCCCATTATGGTAACCTACCCTGCATTTTAAGACAAAGGTACAGGACCAGACCTCTTATAGTTATTTGAATGTGCCCAGTGCTCTAGCAGCAAAAAATATATTAATAGTGGAAGTGAAGCAGGATGGAAGTTTAGGGACCCTGAGGCTAATCTGTGGGAAATTCTTCAAATTATTGGATGGTAAAAGATTTTTTTTCTAAAGACAGCATCTTCCCATGTTGCTTATGCTGGTCTGGAGCTCCTGGTTTTTTAAGCAATCCCCCTGCCTCTTTATCTCGAGTTGCTGGGATTATAGACTTAGCCACTGAGCCCAGTGTGGTTGTATAAATTTTTAATTAAAGATTTAGTGTTTTGGGCGGCATCTGTGGCTCAAAGTAGGCCCCATATACCAGAGGTGGTGGGTTCAAACCTGGCCCCAGCCAAAAACTGCAAAAAAAGAAAAAAAAATTTAGTGTTTTTCAGTACATAGCCAAAACAATTATTTTCTCCAAGAATTTAATGTGGACATACACAACAAACTAAAGCATGTCATCAGTTTAAAGAAATTTGATGTGTCTTGAACTCTTTTAATTCATATATTAAATGACCTATTGGAGATTTTCTCAAATTTGACAACAATCCTAAAAATTTATATAACATTATCAACAAGGAATTGTGAACTTTTATCCTTCACATTTTATGTTATGTGAATAAGAAGAAAAAGAAGTGAAGTCTAGATTAATAATCCTGGTTTCATTTAATAAATATTTATGGGACATTAATATGTCCAAGACACTGCCAACTGGGCCGTGGAAGATCAGACTTGAACAATCTCTGCTTCTAAGGAGTTTTTAATTATAATCTTTATTAGAAAGGATTCTTTTTTATTGGAAAGAATTAAAAACTGGGCTCGGC